TAGACCAGGCTGGCCTCGAACTCACAGAGATCCATGCTGTCCCTTTATGCTGGGAGGCTACTTTACGTTCTCTTTATCCTACACACACCCCAAATACCACTTTCAAGAGCTTTTTTCTCGAATGCCCACCAATCTAAGTCTAACTAGCCTCGGATTCTGTCTGTAGTCCCTATCACAATTATAATTGAAGTATATGTTGTGATGCTGTTTTTCCATTTATGTTGGGGATTGATATTATGTAATTAAAAATGTTTTCCTCATTAGATCCGGACCACTACTGATGCCAAAGCTATTTCTTCCCTTCTTCCTCTAGTGTGGCCCAGTACTTCATAAAATGAGTGGCATCTGGCAGATGCTGGAACACATTCATGAGGGAAGGAAATCACACATGCCACTCCTGGCCAGCTTCTTCCTTCTAACAACATCTACCGAGACAGTGCCACACAACCAGTCTAGTCCCCCAAGGCCCATGCTGCCTGCTTTAGTGACCTACTACCGAAATGTTAAAATTACTAATAACTTTTATTGGATTTATGGCTTGTAAATGGCATCCAGTGAGAGAATGGAGCAGGAACGTGAGCAGAGGAGACGCCGCACACTGTCTCTCACAAATGCATTTTTGATTGTGGTCATTATGCCCTATGAACGCAGCACTGATAGACTTCAGTGAAAGGGAGATCAGCGCCCCCTGAAGCCAGAAGCAGGTCACCGTCTGTTACCGGTACAGCTGAACCAATGAAGGACGGACAGCCTGAGGAGTTCCCGCTTTCCATAGAACCTGTTCCCTCCACACACAGAAGGTAACAGTTTTCTTTTTTCCTGTTTTGAGGCAGGGTTTCTCTGTGTAGTTTTGGAGCCTGTCCTGGAACTCCCTCTGTAGACCAGGCTGGCCTCAAACTCACAGAGATCCATCTGCCTCTGCCTCCCAAGCGCTGGGATTAAAGGCGTGCGCCACCATGCACGGCTGATAATGGCTTTCTAAGAGAGACAGCTGTCAGGGACCCTATGTAGCATCCCTTCTTACTCACTCACTGTTTGGGTTTAGCCAAACATTTACACTGAAACCAGTGACAGAGAAGGAAGCAGGCCAGCCTAACGGAGGGACACAGTGCTGAGGGCAGGTGCGGGAGTCAGGGGGGAAATGGCTGTGCTCCCACGCGCAGTGTCTTCCATTTCTCAACGATGGAAATGCATATGCATGTGCAAGCTGTGGGATACACGCTGCGTAATTTTGGTGATTCTGTGCAGCAGTTAAACACTCCTCTATTTGCATTTAAGATTGACATTGCACACAGTAAAGATGAGCAGTGAAAAGCATGCAGTTATTTCACATTTCACTTTTTTTTTTCTCCTTAAAGTGACCTCAATCAATTAGTAAACACCAGGACAAGTGAGATTTTTGAAAAAGAAAGGGGAAAACTGTATTTTACTATTATTAAAGGCACTTCTGTCCTCTTTTTAAAAATGTTTTAAAATATGCATTTATTTGGGGCTGGAAAGATTGCTCAGCAGTCAAGAGCACTGGCTGCTCTCCCAGAGGTCCTGAGTTCAATTCCCAGCACCCACATGGTGGCTCACAACCATCTGTAATGAGATCTGGCGCCCTCTCTGGCATGCAGGTGTACATACAAATAGAGTACTCATACACATTAAATACATACATCAGTTTTTTTTTAAAGATGTATTTATCTTATGTATATGAGTGCTTTGCTTGCATGGATGTCTGTATATCACAAGCATCCTGGAACTGGAGTTATAGACAGTTGTAAGCTGCCATGTGGGTGCTAGGAATTGAACCCAGGTCCTCTGCAGGGACAGCAAGTGTACAACTGCTGAGCCATCTCTCTATCCTCTACCCCTCCTTTTAATTGGGGCCTTGTATTCTGATTTTGCATGGGACACAGGTTTTATATGGTCAGTCCTGCTCCATTAAGTACTGAGCCCCATGAGCCATGCTCATCAAAATACTGTGAGGCATGTCCTGGACTTTCTCAAGGAGCACATGACACACCAGGAATAAGGCAGGCATCTGACCCTGGCTCTGCACTATCCACACTCTCCTAACCTGTTTCTTCCTCTTCCTCGGCAGAGTGAAATGAGATGATTCCAGAAAGAGGAGGACTCTGCACCTCCAGGTTCTGCTCTCAGTTACTCACTCTCTCAAGAACCCTTATGAAGGGCCTGCACGGTACCCAGGCAGTATACTGCTACTAAAATGATGAATAATCAATCCATGAACCCGTCCCTCTGGCGACCAAAGCCCAGTGAGGAGGCAGGCACACGCCACACAGTGAGGTCTCTACTCTGAGAAGAAAACAGTGTGCTTGAGTATCTGGACCAAAGGACGGTGTCGCCTTTGGAGGTGGATGGGAGAGGAGTAACACCCTGCTGGTGAAAGAGGCTTCACTGTGACACTTACTGGGTGGAACCAAGTAATGGCTTTGGGATGCATTAGCAAGTCCCTTTACCATCTAGCCACGTGAGATAAGGTAGTTTCTAAGCAAAAGTAGTTAGAAGGATTATATTCACATTATTATAAAAGTTGTATTTATTTGGTGTGTAGAAATGTATGTGAATGCACATCTGCCATGACTAGCACGTGTGTGAAGTTGGGAGTCACTTCTCTCCTTATACCATGTGGGTCCCAGGGATTGACCTCAGTCATCAGACTTGGCAAGTGCCTTTATCCACTGAGCCATCTTGCTGGCCCTGGCCTCCAGCTCTCTCGTAGTCAAGGACGGCTTTGAACTCTTCTGCTGCTTTCTCCCAGAGGCCGAGAGGACAGGCATGTGTCATCCTGTCCCTTTTCCGCAGTGCTGGGATTGAACCCAGAGCTAGGCAGGTGCTCCCCCACCTGAGCTACGATCAGAGCCCTAAGAGATTTCTTTCTCCTACAGCCACCTACCATTCAAGGAAAGGCAGCTTTACCTCTTTAAAAGGGGAAGTTCTGAGGCCTTCTGCTCTTCCTGGGGTGCGGGGAGGAATTTCCCCGGGCACTGCTATGTCCTTAAATAACAGAACTACCTGTGCAAACACCGCGTCCTTGCAGGGTGCTGGGCTCCTGTTAGCAGGCTCCCGACCTTTTTTTAGGTAAGCGAGTGTTAGGCAAAGCCTTCTTCTTAATTAATGGGTCCACCATAGCAACCCACCCTATGCAGCTTCTCTCCAATCTCACACATCACAGGACTTCCTCTGCACTCCCCAAGGATCAAAGCTTCCTGCCAGCCAAGGATTGTCACCAAATCCTAAGGATCAGGGGCTGAATACAAGGAGAGTTCAAAGGTAAAGTTATTCACAGGAGCCTCTGAGGTGGGCAGGATACAAGCAGTCCTATAGAGGAACCCTCTCATTAAGACTTCAACACACCTGCGCGCGCGCGTGTGCGCGCGCGCGCGCGCGCGCACGCACATGCACACACACACACACACACACACACACACACACACACCACCCCTTCAAGCCCCCTGGCCCCCTCCCAATCAAGCCCAAAAGCTCCATGAGAGGAAGAGGGGCACAGGTGTGTGCTCACTGGGGAGCAAAGCACCTCCTCTCATTCAGGAGGGACTCAGAGCAGCAGGTGGCTGACAAGTACTTTACTTTTGGAGAAGCTCTTTGTGGTTTGGGGGGAGTTTATTTTGGTGTTGGAGATCTCACACAGGCAACATACCTAATGCTAAACATGTCCTCTACCAATGAGCTGCACACCCCCCACCCCCAACCCCACCCCAGCCCCTAGGTCAGGGAGAGCTTAAAGAAGCACCCAGATTCCTTGTGTGAAAACTCTTGCCTCGCCCAGGGTCTGTACCACACACATCCATTTTCCCACCCCTCCCGCAGGCCACCTTCGGGGGTTCAGTGACAAGGGCGGTGTTTGGGGTGAGTGTGGTTGAGAAGCCAGCAAAGGAGGCTTACTAAAAAGAACACTGTGAGCAGGACTGCCTTGGGCACACAGGTGCACCTTCAAATGGGAAAAGCAAAGAAACAGCCAGTGCCTTTCCTGCAAAGCTGTGTCTTTGAGTTAAGATCAAAGGAAGAAATAAATGGCAGGTATTCTTCTTTTTAGATCCTAAATATGTTTATTTATTTGGTTATAAAAGCCACATAACCACAATTCAGAGTATTTGGAAACTACAGGAAGGAAAAAACCATCTCTAGCCAGACTACCTTTTTAACACAAGATGCATTAGTGAGGGCACTCAGTAGTGAGCAGACAGACATGCACGTGCATGCACACATTTTTGTTTGTTTGCTTGTTTGTTTGTTTGGTTTTTTCAAGACAGGGTTTCTCTGTGTAGTTTTGGTGCCTGTCCTGGATCTCGCTCTGTAGCCCAGGCTGGCCTCAAACTCACAGAGATCCGCCTGGCTCTGCCTCCCAAGTGCTGGGATTGTGCACCACCACCACCTGGCTCCCCACGGGCCCCCTCCCCCCACAAGGTTTTGCTATGTAGCCTTGGCAGCCTAGAACTTGCTATTGTAGGCCTCTGCCTTCCCAGTGCTGGGATTAAAGATGTATTCCAGTGAGATTTATACATACACATACACAGCCTGTAAGTATGTGATTTACTTTAACATGTGCACGCCTTACTTTATTTGTATGGGTGTCTGTATGGACATCTTGTCTCACGTATGTCTGAGCACCACATGTGGGCAATGCCCTCAGAAGCTAGACTCTCAGGAACTGGAGTTTCAGACAGAGGGTTGTAAGAGGCCATGTGGGTGATGGGAATTGAACTTGGGTCCTCTGGAAGGGGAGCCAGTGCTCTTAATCCCTGAGCCATCTCTCCAGCCCTCACTTTTATTTTATTTTTTAAATACAAGGGAGAGGAATGGAAGCAGGAAGACAAAATGCCAGTTTTCACTCACGTGTAGTGTGTATGTGTCATGTGAAAGCAGAGGGGAGCTTTCTGTGAGGTGAGGGTTAGAGAGACGGGGAGGGCAGTTGAGGTGAATAAAGAAAAGATCATGCAGGCTGGGGAACTGGCTGGGGAGTGGTTGGGAGCACCACAGCTTTGTAGAGGACCAATATCGATTCCCAGCACCCGCTTGATGACTCACAGCCATCTGTAACTGCAGGTCTAGGAAATACAACTCTCTCCTCTGTGGTCCACAGACACATATGCAGTGAAGCATTCATACACAGTGGGTTTGAGGCAAGCAGGCTTGTATCGGATATTTTCTAAAAAACAAACAAAAAGACAAGACAGTTTTTCTTTCATGTGGGTTTGTGTGTATGTATGTTCCTGTGTGTGCATATACATGTGGGGGTCAGAGGACAACCTTGTGGGGCATTCATCAGGAGTTACTTGCTTTTTTTGCAGGCAGATCCTGGAGATCACCAAACTCACTATGCTGCCTGGCCAGTGAGCCCCAAGGGTCTGTCTAGCTGTCTCTACCTTCCCAGTTCAGGTATTACAATCACACACCACTATACCTGGCTGGTATACTGGGAGGGGTTCTGTAGTGAACTCAGGCATTTACCTACTGGCTATTGCTCTCTCTCTTTTTCATACAGGGTTTTTCTGTGTAGCCCCAGCTGTCCTGGAACTTGCTCTGTAGACCAGGCTGGCCTTGAACTCCCAGAGATCCACTTGCCTCTGCCTGGTGGGATGTCTGTGTATCATATGCATGCCTGGTGCCCATAAAAGCCAGGAGAGGGTATTGGATCTCCTAGAACTGGAGTTGCAGATGGTTGCAAACCACCATGTTGTTGCTGGTACCTGAACTTGGGTCCTCCGGAAGAGTAGCCAGCACTCTTAACCATTGAGACATCGCTCCAACCCCTCCCCTCAACTTTAAGAGTTATCTTTATTTACGTGTGTGTGTGTGTGTGTGTGTGTGTGTGTGTGTGTCTGTGAAGGCCAGAAGAGAATATTGTATCTGTTGGAGCTGGAGTAAGAGGCATTTGTGACCTGCCCAACATGGGTGTGGAAACTGAACTCACGTCCTCTGGAAGAGCAGTGAGAGCTCTTACTTAACTGTTCAGCCATTTCTTTGGGCCATGAAAAAAAAATCGTAAAAAATTATTTTAATAGGTAAGAATTAAATTAAAGGTGATTTTACTAATGGAACGGAGGTGAACAAGGAGGTTGTTCTTTTTTTTTTCCTGAGACAGGGTTTCTCTGTGTAGCTTTGCACCTTTCCTGGATCTCACTCTGTAGCCCAGGCTGGCCTCGAACTCACAGAGATCCGCCTGGCTCTGCCTCCTGAGTGATTAAAGGAGTGCGCCACCACCGCCCGGCTGTTCTTCAGTTCTTATCATGTGGATCAAGAAAACACAATGGAGCCAGGATGGTAGCACAGTTGAGCTCCCGAGTACCACATAAAACCAGGCACAGTGATGCACACCTATAATCTCAGCACTTGCGGGGAGGTAGAGGCAGGAGGGTTATCCTCAGCTATACAGCAAGTTTGGGGTAGTTGCAGATATATATATGGCCCTGTCTCAAACCTCAAAATAATAAAAATCATCATAAACAAGACATTTACAAAAACAAGCACTCAGGAAAGGGTAACTGGAGTTACGGGGGGCTGTGAGCCTCCATGTTGGTGCTGGGAGACCAACCCATGTGCTCTGCAGGGACAATTAGTGATCTTAACCCCTGAGCCATCTCACTAGCCTGCACACAATGTCCGTGAGAATATTTTGCTGTCCTAAGCAAGATGATATAAAGGAAAGGATTCTTATTACCAGCACACGGAGAAAGCCTGGCTTGCCATCAGGGCCGAAGACACAGCTCTGAAGACAGCAGACATCCCAAACACGAGCAGGCGGAGAAGGAAAGGGGTGTTAGGGCGAGACAGGGGTGAGTAAGCCGAGAACACAGGCTTATTTCTTATTTCTCTGCTTTTCGTAACTAAAGAGTATTTACTTATTTCCCACTAAGGCTTTATTTACGTGTCACCGTTCGCCACGCCTTGAAGGATTGGTACAGGGAATGTTTTGTGTGTGACACAAACACAGGTTAATTCTTTATACTCTGCATGTGGGTGTGCATCTGTCATGACAGAGGTTCTCTTTTTCTACCATGGAGCCTCCAGGGATTAAACTCACAACGTCAGGTTTAGGGCAAGTGCTTATATGTGCCGTTACCCCCTGAGCTGTCTCAATGTCCCCTTACTCCCGTAAATTAAAAATCGTATTCATTTCATTTTTAATTATGTGTGTGTAGGTATGTACATGAGAGTTAGGTGCCCGCTGCCAAGGCCAGAGCTGTGAGGTCCTTTGAAGCTGGATTTACAGGCAGTTGTGAGTTGTCCAACGTGGGTGCCGGGAATTGAACTTGGGTCCTCTGAATGAGTAGTGTGTGCTCTTAACTACTGAGCCACCTCTCTCTCCAGACCCTAAAATTTATTTATGTATTGATAGTTATTATTGTTTTGGTTTTCTGAGGTAGGGTATCTCTATTATGTGGCTCTGGCTGTTCTGGAACTCACTCTGTAGACCAGGCTGGCCTCAAACTCACAGAGATCCACCCACCCCAGTGCTGGGATTAAAGGTGTGTGCCACCATGCCCAGTTTATTATTACTGTATGTGAATGAGTTTATTATTACTGTATGTGTAGAGAGGTCAGAGGATAATTTTGTGGATTGGTTCTCTCCCCTTTTAAGTACATTCTGGAGATCAAACTCAGGGCACCTTTCTCGATTAGTGAATGAATGCCTTTACCTGCTGAGCCATCTCACCAGCCAGTTAATGTTATAATGCATATATGAGCTGGGCGGTGGTGGTGCATGCCTTTAATCCCAGCACTTGGGAGGCAGAGCCAGGAGGATCTCTGTGAGTTCGAGGCCAGCCTGGTCTACAGAGTGAGTTCTGGGCTTCCAGGCTTACACAGAGAAACTGTGACTCAAAAAACAACAAAAGGGGTTGGGGACTGAGCTCAGTGGTAAAGCACTTGCCTAGCAAGCGCAAGGCCCTGGGTTCGGTCATCAGTTCTGGAGGGCGGGGAAATATGGGACGGGGGACGGACACCCAACCAACCAACCAACCAACAACAACAACACAAAAAGCAGATATGAAATTCAAAGGACTGCAACCAATACTGACTCACAAAGAAGAACTTCTGTCTAAATCATCATTAGAATGTTTAAAAAGAAAGAAAAACAACAGAGAGACAAGGAGGTGTAGCTGGAAAAGAGCTTTACATTTCATCTACTATCACACTGCAACATCTGATGGTGCTGCTGTGCAGAACTGAGGGCACTGGGGGATTCTGCTGGGCCAGCAGGAAGAACTGACTCCAAGCCTGCAAGGCAGGCAGCCGCTCCACGATAATGGGAAGGGAACAGTTGGGGAGGCCAAATGGAGGCAGCTGCCTGGCCCAGATACTTTACTGATAAAACCTGAAGCTTCTCTTTGATAGGTCTATGAAAAAGAAATCAGGGCTGACTCAAACAGCAAGGCCAAGCTTTTGCGACACTGCATTGAGAATCCAGGGAAGTCAGCAAAGAAGGCAGGATTATTGACATCTAAGGGATTCTATCCATGCCTGATGGATAGAGAACACAGACTCCCTAAAGCCCAGGCTGCCACTGAATTACCTGGAGGGTACTGAACCTTTCAGAAAGCATTTATTTTCAAAGTGTTTTGGTCAGACCTAGAGACAATGGCACCCTGACTCCTCCTGGATTATGCCTCACTGTGGAGTGGGAAAGAATCTCGTGTGAACTGCAGTTGGGGTGGAAGGGGGCAGGGGGATCTGCATGATTTTCTCTGAAGGGGGAAATTAACCGGTCAAGTCAGAAAAACGCTCTAGGGATGCTGACAGGTGAGACAGCGCAGGGACACAAACCGAAGAGGCAGCGGGCGTAAGCCCTGGTAGGGACGACGCTCAGGGGCCCTAAACCGAAGGCAGGCAGCAAGACTCCCCAGGTCTAATGTGTGTGCTTCTGGGCTAGTTCTTGCTAAGGCACTCAGTTTCGGGGGTCACAGGCCACGCAGGCCACGATGGCGGGGGCAGGGGCAGCAGCTGTCACAGAGGTGTGAGCAGCGGTGGCAGCATCTTCCAGAATGCCTTTAAATAGCAACACAGGGAAGGCAGCAGCTTTCCTGCACCTCCACAGGCACCGAAATAGAACAAAGGCGGCAGGGAAAACGGCCAGAGCCTGTGCAAAGACGGCAGCTGCTGCTGCTGCTGGGGAGAGACTGGCAGCATCTGAGAGCGCCACGGCAAACTCGCCCTTCGAGGGGCCCTCAACCGCTGCCACATCTGGAAACGGGCTTTATTGTTTCCAACCCCCGGGATCACTACGCAGACACCTGCCAAGGGTGGAGGCCCTGTCTCCTTCCTTCTCTCAAAGCATTCGGCGGGGGACCAAACAGCCACTGGGCAGGAAATGGGTCACCACTGCCATTACATCGGTCACTGGCCTTCCCACATGTTTTATCTTGAATCCTGTGGTACAGGGATTATCAATCCCAGATTGCAAAACTGGGCTGGGGTTTAGGGGAGGCTAGAGATTTAGAGTCCAAACTTGTATCTGCCGGGTCTGGCTTCACAAACCTTGTCTTTAAATGTGTGCATTACTAGGAAATCTGATCTGTAGGGAGGACTTGGTCCCTTTCCTGCACTACCTAACTTGCTTTATTCTATTTTATTTTTTTGAGACAAGGTTTTTCTGTGTAGTTTTGGTGCCTGTCCTGGATCTCGAGCTGTAGACCAGGCTGGCCTTGAACTCACAGAGATCCATCTGACTCTGCCTCCCGAGTGCTGGGATTAAAGGCGTGCGCCACCGCTGCCTGGCCCTAACTTGCTTATTTGGATGCTACCTGGCTAGTGGGGCTCTGGGGGAGCTGATGGATTAATGGCTCATTCCAGGGCAGGAAGTGCTAGCTTGCTGTGGGACACCCTGAATCATCACAATCTTAGCTTGGTCACCCAGCCTCGGTATCCCTGGAACCGGCCAGGCCTTTCTAGGTTGAGGAGGTGCTGGTTGCAGTCCTTAGAGCATCTGTTTGGTGGGTTCAGTGCGGGCAGGACTCAGGAAGAAAAGGCTGTCGAGTCTGGCGAAAGGCAGAGAGAACAAGAGGTGCAGACACACCCTTTTGAGGGTAGGGTCTGTACTGTTCACTAGTGTGTATACAGTGTGACACACACTGGGGAATGTAGCCCCAGCCCTCATCAGAGGTGGCCACACTGTCCCTGAGGGATACCATCGTTGTAGCCAATGACCCCCTACACTTATTCTTCAGCCGCTCATGAAATTCCTCTATTATTTTAGTAGTGCTAGAGGGCATACCTTGTGTATGCTTGGCAAGCCATGGCCCTAGCCTCTCTGAAAAATTTTATTTGTTTTGTCTATTTTGTTTGTTTGAATGTTTTGACTTTTCAAGACAAGGTTTCTCTGTGTAACAGTCCTAGCTATCCTAGAACTCACTTTGTAGACCAAGCTGGTCTTGAATTCGCAGAGATCACCTGCCTCTGCCTCTCAAGTGCTGGGATTAAAGATGTGTGCCATCACTGCCCGTCTGAAAAACTTAAAATGCCTGGGACTCACCATTTTAAACTTTTTAAAATTTCTTATACTTTATAGGTAACTCTGACAATCTAATAGCAATGATGTGTCTATAAGA